TTCACCATCTTCACACTATTCCCGATCAACAACATATCATCCACATATAGCGTGAGAATGACAAACTGATCGCCCGTTCTTTTCACATAAACGCAATGGTCAGAATTTGAACGCACAAAATTAAGCTGGAGCATGTACGTGTCAAACTTCTGGTACCACATCCTCGGTGACTGCTTCAGCCCATATAAAGACTTTTTCAATTTGCACACCAAATTCTCCTTTCCTCTTACTTCAAAGTCTTCTGGTTGCTTCATATATATCTCCTCCTCCAAGTCCCCATGAAGGAATGCCGTCTTTACATCCATCTGTTCTACCTCAAGATCATATGCAGCTGCTATAGACAGAACAAACCGTATCGACGTCAACTTCGCCACGGGAGAAAAAATCTCGTCATAGTCAACTCCCTCAATCTGAGAGTACCCCTTGGCTACAAGCCTAGCCTTGTACTTCTCTACAGTCCCATCCGGTTTCAGTTTTCGCTTGAACACCCATTTACACCCAATTGCCTTTCTATCCTTAGGCAATTTACACAAGCTCCATGTTTCACTTTTATCAAGCGACTGCATCTCATCTATCATTGCGAGCTCCCACTGATTCGCATCATCCATAGATCTCACCTCTTTTACAGAACTAGGATCATCTCCGATAATGCTCAAAGCATGAAACGTACTCAAAGCACTCAGTGAGTATCGAAGTGGTACCTTTCTTTCCCGCGTCGATCTCCTGAGAGCCGGCATGCTATCTATATCTGGGTCTTCATCTGAATCTGCATCCTCGACTTCATTAACCGAGTCCCCTTGCTCCGATTCAAAATCAGACTCTACTAGCGTGCCTTGTGGAATCATCTCCATAGTTTCAGTTTTAGGACTTTCTTCAAGCACTACCACTTTCTTGGGTTCATCACCTTTCTGTGTGCCAACCTGGGGTTGTGTTTCACGAAAGACGACATCTCTGCTGTATACAATGATTTTTGATTCTGGATTCCACAGCTTATAGCCCTTGACCCCTTCCTAGTATCCGACAAATATGTTTTTCTCAGACTTGCTGTCAAGCTTACCCCGCTTCTCCTTGGGTACATGAACATATGCGTCACACCCGAACACCCGAACATGCGACAGATTCGGCTTCTTCCCAAATACTGCCTCATATGGTGTACGATCCTTCACTGATGAGGTCGGTGACCGGTTCTTCAAATAACTGGCTGTGGCTACAGCTTCTGCCCAAAATTCTGGCCCCAAACCTGGCCAACTCAGCATGCATCTTGCCTTTTCTATGAGTGACCGATTTAATCTTTCGGCTACTCCATTCTGTTGAGGCGTATATGGAGTCGTTTTCTGCCTTGCAATACCATTATCCACACAAAATTGCTCGAACTTATCCGAACAGAATTTACCTCCGTTATCTGTACGAAGGACCTTGATTTTCCTGCCCAATTGGTTTTCAACCAAAACCTTAAATTCTCAAAATTTCTCGAATACATCTGATTTACTTTTAATAAAATAAATCCAACTATATCTCGAAAAATCATCTATGAACGATACATAGTACCTGGATCCTCCAATAGATGGAGTCGGAGTAGGTCCAAAAACATCGCTGTGAATCAGCTCGAGAACCTCAGTTGCTCTTGTACTAGTGTGTTGGAAGCTAACTCGGTTATGTTTTCCATGAAGACAGTGTTCACAGAACCCGAAACCCATAGAGCATTTTGGAATTCCTTCTACCATCTGACTTGAAGCTAAGGTAGACAATCCGTTTTCACCGATATGCCCTAACCTCTGATGCCACAGCATGGACGTTTCATGTCCATCTTCCTTGGCCTCTTCAGAAACGAACCCGCTACCAATGATCACTTTGTTTCCCCGAGCGGCTTGTATAATGTCCCGTAACGGACTCCTCGTGCAATCACAATAGAACCTCGAGTCATCTTGCACGAATCCTTATCACAGCTAAAAATAACCCCCGAATCAGCCATCGTACCGACTGATAACAAATTTCTGCTCATCAAGGGTATGTGCATCACGTTTGGAATAGTCTTCACCGTGCCATTACTCATCCTCAGCTTCACCCTGCCACGCCCGACAATTTGAACTGCAGTATCATCTCCGAGCATGACATCCCCACCATTATATTGCTCATATTCACAAAACCAGTGTCTATGAGGCGTCATGTGGTATGAAGCACCGGTATCGATCAACCATATATCCTTGTCTGACTGCGCCATACACGCAGTAGCCAAATATATATCTCCTACATCGACCTCCTTTTTATCCAAGGATGATTCAGTTTCTTTCTTAAAAACTGGCTTGTTTTTACAGTCCCGCTTCACATGGCCCCACTCTTGACATTTCCAGCACTGTACCCTCCTCTCCCTACTCTTCGATCGCCCACGAGATTTGGATCTGGACCCTCTTTGATTCAGAGTCTTCTCTGCTGGCCTTCCCCTTGCCGCCAATGCCTCTTTACCGGAATTTCCCGATCCCTTTCTTCGTGTCTCTTCCGATAACAAGGCAGAACACACACTTTCATATGATAATTCCTTATCCCCACCACCGATCACCACAATCAGGTTATCCCATGAATCCGGCAGTGAACAGAGCAGTGTTATTGCCTTATCATCATCCTGGAACTTAACACCGATTGATACGAGTTGACTGATCAATGTGTTAAAGTTATACAGATGTGCAGAAAACGAGTCGCCCTTATGCATTTGAAGATTATACAGCTTTTTCCTCAAAAATAGCTTATTAACCAACGACTTACTTTGATACAGCGACTCCAGTTTCTGCCATAGGTCCCTGGCTGTAGGTTCCCCCATCACGTTTGTCAGAATCGAGTCTGCGAGACAAAGCCGAATCAAACCCTTTGCTCTCCGATCAATCCGATTCCAGTCTTCAATCTCCTTCGGATCTGCCGGTTTGGAAGTTGAATCCCCATCCTTCATCGCTTCCTTGCCTATCACGACACCAGGTTGCGCAGCAACAGGCCTTTCCGTTTCGATTGCCGACCAGAGTTCTCGATCACAGAGAAGATCTTCCATCTTCATCTTCCACAGATCAAATCGCGTCCCATCGAATTTTTCTATCTCAATTCGTGATCCTCCTGACATCTCGAATAAACCCTAATTCCTCGAACAACTCCGGCTCTGATACCAATTGAAGGGACGTATCGAGAACCGAAATAGAACGATCACGCAGAAAACAGAGAAAAAGACGATGCACGAATTTACCCAGGTTCACCCTCGATTAGGGCTACGTCCTGCAAAGAGATTTCACTATGTTTTTAGGTTTTTACAGTCACTCAACACGTTACAATGATAAAAAAACCGAGCAAAATATATATGTGCCCCAAACTGGCCCAAAGGGCGCTGCCCCCGAACCCCCGCCCGCTGACCGAGCAGCGGGGCACCCGTGTCGGGGGCGCTGCCCCCGAACCCCTGCATTCCGCACGCGTGCGTCACATGTCGTCGGACAACACTTCAGTTTCCCTAAGCTCACGTGGGCGTACCCGGTGTGAGAAATAAGGGTCCCTGAAGTATTTGCCAACTCCAACAGGGAGGACTGCAGACACGCCTGAGCTGCTGCTGGACAGCCAACTTGCTGAGGAATCCTACAATACAGGACCGGCATCAGATGACGATGATCGTGATTTGCAATTTAAACACCTTAACAACCATGAGAGGGGTGAGGATGGATATGGTGTGAAGTGAGAGTGAGAGACGTATTAGTTCATTTTGTTTGACTGACGGTTAATTAACGCCCAATCTTGAACTCAAAGTTTCGGTCATTCCGGTAATCTGTGGAACATCATTCATTTTGTTCCAAATTTAGACCGACTCACGTCGTCTTGGAATCTTCGCTCGAGCTATTGTCCGGGATCCTTGGATTCCCACATTATTTAAAAAAAAAAAGCGCGTTTTCTAGCTCATCGAGCCATTTTCGAACTCTCATAATGTTGGAATCTTGATTCTGCTGTCTTACCTTTCGGGTTTGGGCATAAGCACCAAGAATGTTGTATTGAGCTGTCTGGAACCTATCTTTACCGAGCCACTCGTCGAGTTCGCCTCTGACTTCCTTTGACATATGTTAGTCCTGAAATGCCAAAAAAAAAAATGAATGTAATATGAATTCCTAGTGTAAGGCAAATGCGAATTATGATATTTTTGTTTAGAGGTCTGAGTCCGATCCACAATTAATTTTTATGTAATAAATGATCACGTGGAATAACCTTTAATTTATGAACTGAAAATCCTCAAAAGAGTTTGTGATCCATTTAAGGTTAATGGAAAATGGTCCACTTAAGGTTGGTGTTAGCTAAATGCGTATTCAGATTAAACAATTTGCTTATTTTCAATCATAAGTTTGAAATCCTAGGTTAGTCAAATAAACTTTCACAAGAAGAATTCAACCGACTGAAAACGTTGAAAATTCGAAAACCTTTTCTTTTGATAATGATTACTTTTGTTTGCGGATTACGTACGGAATGATGCATGTTTGACCTCAGCATTGCAGGTAAAATGTATATAATCTCAGCGGTCCATGGATTGCTTCACCTCGTGCCCGTTGGCTCATTTAATAAGGGTCCTCTAGGCAATGAAAATTATTTCGCTTGGCGTTTTAGGTAGAAAGATATTATCAACGAATGTCTCGAAATACAAGTTAATTATATTTTATTTGGAATTATATCAATTTTCGAGCTATTGATGGTACATAATACGAGAGCAATTAGTACATTCAAAACTATGAAATTTCCCCGGTTGATTACTTAACAAGGGCATCTACGACACTCATTAACAAAATCCTAATTTTAATTATTTCTTCAAACTATTCTCCAAGGAGTACGTGTGGGTCAACAAGCTTAAAAAGGAGAAGAAATTCAATTAGTCTTCTTCTAAGACGAAGTGGTGGCAGAATAATGTAATAAGTTATTCAACCAATCATGTACTCAGAATATGTTCCGATTGGCTAGTGCCCTCGTCGTGGCCGTGCTCATGGTCGCGTCCATATGGTAATACGACTATCATTGTTATTAGTTCATGTGCATTCCAACTGCACAAAAATAAATGAAAACAATTCCAAGTTACTAGACCGAAGTTGACACGACAGATAAGATCCAGACGAGAGGATCGTCTAAAAGAATTGTTCGGATCCATTCCACAATGTCCGAACAAACTTAATCTCTTCTTTTGACCAATAAAAGAAAACCTTAATCTCTTCTGGGCTGCAGCAACACTTTATCGATCACCTCGTCCAAGTTCGAGAACGACGACCCGGAAGGACACGTGGCCTCTCGGGCCATCTCCTTCCACTCCATCGCCTTCCTCTTCATCTCCCTCCCTCTCTCCCCCTCCATCAGCTCCCTCACCTGCCTCTCCACCTCGTCCCTCTTCACGTCGCCGTCGATCTCCATCCCGATCCCCCACTCCTCGAGGCTGTACCGGCAGTTCGTCTGCTGCTCCGCAAAGAACGGCCAGCACACCACCGGCACGCCGGCCACGATGCTCTCGATCGTCGAGTTCCACCCGCTGTGGGTCAGGAACCCGCCGACTGCGGGGTGGCTTAGCACCCGCTCCTGGGGGCACCAGCTCGCCAGCAGGCTCCGCTCCCTCGTCACGGCCGAGAACTCTGGTGGCAAGATCGCCGTGTCGCCAACAACCAAGTCGGGCCTGATGACCCACAGGAACGTCTGGCCGCTGTTCGCGAGCCCCCATGCAAACTCCACCAGCTGTGCCGGAGACATCACTGTGATGCTCCCGAAGTTCACGTACACGACCGAGCCGGGCGGTTTCGAGTCGAGCCACTCGAGACAGCCCAGCTCTTCCTTCCACAGGTTTGACCCTATCGACCTGGTGTCGTTATCGGGTAGTTGCTCCGTAAGGAGATGAAGGGGGCCAAGGGTGTAGATCGGGGGGAACATGGCCTTGAGAGCGTCGAGGACCTCGTGCTCTAATCGGTCGAACGTGTTGAAAACGATGGCAGACGCTCTCTTCGCTCTCTGGGTCTCGTGCAAGCAGAATTCGACCATCAGGTCGTCCGGGTCAGTGGTTCGGATGAAGCTCGGTAAGTCTCTCAGGCGGATGTTTCTCATCCCGGGTATCCAGTCGACGACGGTGTCTAAGTACCCGTTTGTCAAGTAGCTTGCATCTGCAAATTGAAAGGTTGATCAATTGAACCGTGTGACCATACATGGTTGGTTCTCATAAAGGATCCGCTTCTCCGAAAAATTAAGAGTTCGTTCCTACTATGTCGTTCGATGTTTATGGTGTCACGTGGCATAGATTGTGTAGTCAATGCATTTGCTAGACTTAGATTAGGGAAAACACGAGAAGATAGTTGAAGGTCATGGGAAATGATTAAGTCGTAAACAATACGTAAGCTCCGGAATAAAGGTTCTTACTTCTTAAATTCAACTTTTGACAGTTGACTTAGATCAGTACTCAACGCAGGAGAAAATTATGATGCAAATCAGGAACAAACGAAACTAGACAATATAAACAGCAAACCAAACTCATAAGAGAGAAAAGAAAAATCATTAGCCGTAAATCTGCTAAGTGAGATTACTTAAATAAACCAAATCAGACAATTATTGATTAATGCATACCTTTGAGTGGAATAAGACCCTTGTCAATAAGACTGCGATACTGCACGTAGCCCATGAAGCCGCACGCGCTCGTCGTCCAGAACAGGACCTCCGGCACGCCGATGCCCTCGGCGGCGTCGAGCGTGAAGCTCATCGCGCCGTCCGACACAACGCAGCTCACCAGCGGGGAACCCGACGTCGCGCTCTCCTCGTTGAGCCTCTCGAGCAGGTCCCGGAAGTAGGGCAAGCAGTACTTCCGCGTGGACTGGCAGAGGGCGGTGACGTCCTGGGTGACGTCGGCGTCGGAGGGCGGGAGGCCGTCCGGGATGGTGCGGAACCGGAAGGACGGGAGGCCGTCGAGGGCGGAGGGGCCGCGGGACCGCAGGAGGCGTCTGTGGTTGTACTCGGTGTTGACGAAGGTGACGTGGAAGCCGCGGTGGTGGAGGAGCTTGGCGAGGTTGAGCATGGGGCTGATGTGGCCCTGGGCTGGGCAGGGGATGCACACTGCGTGTGGCTTCCGGGTCATCTCTCTCGAACCCATCTCTCTCTCTCTCTATCTCTCTCTGTCTTCTCTGTGTTTTTGGCAAAGGAAGAAGAGATGAGAACGGTGAGGGAACGTGAGGTTTTGGTCTATATATAGGCGGGCGAGACGAGAGAGAGAGAGAGAGAGAGAGAGGGGAAGGAGGTTTGAACGTCGGCGAAGAATTCCGGCCAAGTTGGAAGAGTCGACGGAGATGAAGATGTGATGAACCGGATGGTCAAATTACGGCGTCGATTTTTTTAATAGGGTAAAAATGGCACCGCCAGATCTTTTGGAAAATCTTGGAGTGAAATGATTCAGTGGTTTGACAAATTTAGGAAATTGAGTCGATAAAAAAAACTTTTTTAATCAATCGGAAAACCTACGCTTGAATTAAAAAAAAAAGTTTCATAATTTTATTATTATTTTGGATATGCCGTGAACTTCATTACTGCAAGACCATCATCAGTAATTGGAACCAAGTGCCTGATGGTTGGAACCGGGGTCCTTGATGGCCCGACCTTGGAAGCCGGCGGCTGGATTTAGATCCCTCCTCGGTGCTTCGACCTTGGCCCCTCGGCAGCCGGACTTGAGACCTTTCGCTTGAACTCCGAGTCTTAGGGTTGTATTTCATATATTTTTTTTCATTTGTGTGTTTCATAGTTTTCCTGTAATAATCATGCAAAGAAAAAAAAAACAACCAAACAAAGTAAATCGAATCATTTTTCTTGAAAATAACTTCATCTAAAAATACTTCCCAGCAAAGTTCATTTTCCTTGAAACAACCACGCCGGTAATTTGGCGAGGAGAAAAATGAATTTATAGGAAAGATATGTGATAAACACGGAAGGATGTTCAAATAAGTGAATTATGTTCAAGAACCGATTCCATTTGTTCACGTTGTCTTATATGCTAAAATTTTACACAAATATCATCCCCACTCTCATGCCCTCCATATCGAACTCTACAAGTCATTATTGAAAGCAACATATGCATGCACGCCTAGTTCAAGCAAAGCTTTTAGACGCGTGTGCCATGAGCAATTGAAGCCGAAGGTAGATCGTGCACTTACAAGAATTCGAAACTTACGGGGAAAATATAATTACGTGATTTATGAATCCAATTCCATCTTGATCGCTAATCACGTGGACCCTAAAACGAGACGCGCATACTTGATAATTAAGAGAAATAACGGTTCGCTTAATTTACGAATCATGCAATAAATTTTTCGAAATTCACCCTCGCACACCTATCGTATGTGTCAAGTAAAGACAATGAATATTATTTTGACTGTCGTTATCCTTTTTCCTCTTATGTTCCAAAATTCCGGCCACGGGGAAGAAAGTAGTGCGAAACCTATTCAAGGTAATGAAAGAATTATTCGATAGCATAGCGGAATACCGAGTCGTGAAGGACGCTTCCGGGGGCGAAAGGCCGTGGGGAGATACCGTCTGGTGATCCATGGATCACCGAGGCGAGCTCTCGGTCGTCTGTCCAATTATTCATTCCTTCATGTGCCTCCCCATCAATAGGTCTCGAAATCGGATTCTGTGCTTGTGCTGTGATGAATTAAGTAGCGATTTTCTTTTCTTCTTATCACATAAAGTAACAACTTTCTTACTTAGCAAATTAAGTGATTTTTTTGACTTGAGTGAATATTTGAAGTCAACTCAAATTATGCTTATCAGACGTGCTCTTTTTTTTTTTTTTTTTGGTGATACAAGAATCCAAATGCACGAGTACAAAAGGCTGAGCTATCGGGAGGCTAGTTAAACGCCCTGTAAATCAATTAGATATAAGCATTTAGCCTATATGGGGTATTGTAATTCAAAAGAATTTACACGTGGTTCGTAAAATTTGTACATATGACTTTTGGCTTCTGAGCTAGATATCACTAAAACAGTTTACGATCCGTTGAAGTTTAATGGTCTATGGTCCATTTTAAGATTGGTCAGCTAAATGTGTATGCAGATTAAACAATTGACTTATTTTCGATTACAAGTTTCAAATCCTAGCTGAGTCAAATAAACTTTCCCAAGAAGAATGCAAATGACTAGAAACGTTGAAAAATTGAAGGACACTTCTTCTTATAATGAATATCTTATTCGCGGATTACGTACCGCATGACCCAAGTTTGACCTCAGCAAATGGAGAAAAATGTTTAAAATTTCAAGTGAGCCATGGATTGCGTCGCCTCTTGCCCATACGCTCATTGAAAATAACGTCCTCTAGAAAATTGTTTGGCTAGGTATTTTAATTATACTTTATTCAAAATATAGAAATTTTCAAGACATCAGTTGGGTATAACATAAAATCAATCGGTACACTGAAATTTGCGAAACTTTCTTAATTTATTGCTTTACAAGTGTGTCGAGAACACTCGTTCATAAAATCTGATTATCTCTTCATAGTGGAAGGTCAACGTCGGTCGGTCGACGAGTTTAAAGAGGAGAAGAAATCCAATGAGTCTTCTTGTCACGGCAAGTGGCAACACAGAATAAAATAATCAATTATTCAACTAACCATTGCCTCCATATAAGTTCATACACAAACTTTTAAATTTTCAGAACACATTTAACGGGACTTAATAAATAGGCCCAAGGACACTCTTCAACATCTCAGCATACATATTCATCAGACTGTGACACTTGTGTCTTTACTAGGAATTTATTACCGTTCAGCACTTCAATGTAGATGGGGCAATTAACATCACAAATGCACCTCTCAGTGCTATCCGCAGGTCGACGTATATCATAGGTCGTTGGAGCGGCAAAGCAATGGCCACCGAATCATGAAAGGGAACTCGACCCTGATCGAAGTACAATGCGCTGATTCATATTTGGAACCTACCAATCGAAAAGCTAGTTAGAGGATACGCACGATCGATTAATCAATCAAGGATGTGTACGATCAAAGGGAGATAATATGCGCATTCTTGAGAGATACGGAGAATCAAGAGAGAGATTCGAATTATCTCCGATAGAGAAAAATATCATGGGAGGAAGTTGCTTCCATCTAGAAAGGGACGGGAACATGGTGCCATACTCGATACCCAAGAGGCCGGATTCAACTTCTGGGACATGTCTCTAGCAGCCACCAAAATAACAGGACAAAAGTGAGGAAACAACATCTATTCAGCCACTTGTGCTGATTTTCCAATCCAAGTTATGGAACAGAAGCTCTCTCCCCATGTCTCGACCATATAAAAAAAAAAAAAAACCTTCCACTTGCAGTACTTGTTGAGACCACGGGAGTCGTTTTCGTGGAGGCAAGCTGCGTCTACGAGATTCGTAAAGTCGCAGCAACCCAAAACGATGCGATTCGTAAAATTCACAGAGCTTCGCAATTTGCGTATTTTCATGACTTCGAGTCGCTCATGAAATTGGTTAGACATGGAACAGTTCTCTCCCTCTCATGGGTTCGTCCTGTTGCATGTTGTTGTCCTTTTCTTCTTCTTTTGTCGCGATGATACAGTACAATGCAAGGCGCACCATGTTGTGGAGAGAAGAAAAAAACGGACGTTTTCGTTCTTCGTCTATCGGTATGAAAAGTCTTCCATTGATTTCCCATTGAAGATGAAAATTCTTTCACATCGTGGGTTTTACTCGTCTTGAAGTAGACAAGTCCGAGTTTTGTCTAGAAGAACACATAAGGATCCATTATTGTTGGGGCACGCATGCAACAGAAGCTCGATATATAGGGAAAACGGGTTCAATTAGTTCCCTAAGTCGACTCGTGCTAGGGCTCGGGCTATCCCTCTCTTGCGATTACCCTAAGATGAGGTATCAGAAGTTCGGGACGGAGTCTCATGGATCATCGCGGTTGCCCCAACTGTGATTTCCATCACAGTTTGGACCAGAGGATCATCGCGGTTGCGTTTTGTTTGTTTACCCATCTTTGTTTCCGGGGATGGATCCGACGGTTATATATTCATTGAAAATTCGAGTTTACTCATTTAAGGACAATTTTAGGCATCGAGCGTGAGTGAATTCTTGTCATGCGTGATTTCAGCCGACTTAAATGGCTCGGGAACTCGGCATTTTTCTCGCGAGGAGTACGTCGGGGGATGTTCCCGGCACGACCGAATTCGAGTTTTGACCCGGAGGTAGGCAAATGACACATTCGCAAGATGCGCGTAGGTGAGATTGTTGACCTGCAGAAACGAGGAAAGATGACGATGATGGTGCAAGGATGGCAACGACTTCAAGCTAGGAGGCAAGACCAACCCGGGAAGACTATGCTTACGAGAAAGAAGAGTCCATCCAAGTGAGGAGAAACCAGGCGCGAGGACGAACAGTTCCCTTTGACCTTGCCTTTGACACGAAACTACCGACTCGCCCCTTCAGGACAAGGCGGCCGGCCCTAGAGGCTGAAGTTGATGGGTCGATTCTGACGATTAAAAGGGCACGAGAGACTTACTTTTATTTTTAATTTTTTTTTATCATTTCATTGTATTTGTAGTTACCCTTTCAAAATGATTTTGTAATTTCTTCTTCCGGCCGAAATCTCCCTCTTTTGACCCCCGAACCACGGCCTCTAAGGGTGCGTGTGGCAATCATTCTGTGCCCAGAAACTGATTCTGCTCAGAAATGATTCTTTTTTATTTCGTGTCCGGGAATAATTTTTAAGTATTTGAAAGCGTTTGGTAACTGCCCAAAATTTCTATCCTTGGAATAGAAAAAGAACATAAATGCGTTTGATAAATGCCCAAATTTTTTTTATTAATAATATTTTCAATTTTTTAATATTTCTTTTTTAAAATTTTCCTTTTTTTTCTTCTTCTTCCCCTTCTTGGCCCATGGCCAAGGCCAACGAGGGCTGGACCCTCACCGCCGCCCTCGCCACTGCGGCCCATCTCCCTGGCCTGGGTCGCGACGGCGAGGCCTCGCGTTGCGGCCACGAGCCCCCCTCACCCAGGTGGCGAGGGCCACGACGCCCTCGCCAGCCCTAGCCTGTGGTCGGTCATCGGTGGCCGGCCAGGAAGAAGAAGAAGAACAAACCAAGAAGGAATAAGAAAACCAAGAAAAATCAGAAATGGAAAAATTGTTCTCAGAATCAAGAAGCTACCTTTTTTTTCT